CCTTTTAGAAACAGTAAATACATTTTTCATTTTCAAAGATGCCTTGACTTTTAAAATGTATTGAATTTTAAAGAGGTCTGGGTAAAATAATATTTACATTTTTCTTTAAATACAAACTTAAATTTCTACTTTGTTTATTTCTATTAACTACTGTATGTGATTACTTTAGTGAGTGAATTAGCAAGGTTGTCCAAAATGTGTTTATGTTTCATTTGATTTTGCAAAATACTCATGAAAAATTAATTTCACAGTAGAAACCATCAGTATCCACATTACAAAATTTCCTTGAGGATCTAGATTTTTATTATTGGGTTTTTTCAAGACAAAAAACTATCTTGCAAGACAACCTCAAACAGCAGCAAAGTCAGTAAATCCCATGCTCTGAGCTGACTCTGATGTCATACTTGAAAGCCTTTGAAGTCAAGATTTTTGCAGAATTGTTTGACTCAGTCTGGTAAATCCCTACAATTTTGCAGTTGTGTGATACACCCTATACTTTATCTCCTATGTTACATTGTTCAAATCATGGGGTTTTCAGTCCAACAGCTTCTGAAAAAAGTAAAGTTTGAACTGACTCCTCACTTCATTGCATACATATTTATTTTATTTACTAACATGTTAGTTCACTTGAATGTGAGGGGATTTAAAGACTTTAAGTACAGTAATGTTGAGGTCTAGCACTGGAAAGAGCAAAGTAGAACAGCCTATGTCTGGATAATTCATCCAATTCACTTTTCTTTTTTAAATTTCATAATACTCTGTTAGTCTGTTGTTCTTCCCCTTCAAGTTCCTTTAAGTAGATATTGGTATAGTTGAAAATACAGTTCTGAGTATGTGGATATATTTCTTGATTCAATACATAATGGTGAACTGCAGTAGTGAATCTCATACCTAAATGAACTTTGATTTGTATAAAATGATATACTTAGCAACAGTTATGTTGTTGTGGTGGCTTTAGACAAACCACCGGAGAATTAGAACCCTACACCAGTCACTCCCCTTTTATTTTTTTTCTTCCCCCATACCCTCCAATTAATGAAGGGCAATACGGAGAAATATAAGTAAAAATAACAATTTACTGAAGGTAAATAGCAGCAACTACAAAGACACAGAGGAAAATGGTTTATACCAACAAAGGCAAAGAAAATATTACCTGGTGCCCTAGGACAGAAACAAAAAAAAACAAACCAAAATGGTGGCTGTTACCAAGCTGGACCACACAGCCTGGGAGAACAAGGAAAATAATGTGGCAAACGAGTTTCCAGAGTTTAACACCCTTTGCCAGTCAGAAAACAATGGAGAACAGGATCAAAGCAAAACCTGGAAAACTATTTTGTCCAAAATTTAGTATGCTGCCAAAATACCGGTTCCAGTGGTGTCAGCAGTGGCACCAGTCCCTGTGGCAGTGGTGACAGTGGTCCCAGTGGGTGCTGTGGCTTGAGGTGGTAAAGCAACGACTCCGGGGTTGCAGCGGTTCAGGTGATGGTAAACAAGGCAGGGTATTGCAAAACAGCTCTGAAGCAGCTTGTGGCAGCAGCGAGGTATTGAGGAGTCACGCTCCAGGAACATGACTCTGGCAGGACAGCTCCTCCTCTCTCTCACCTGGCGAACAACAATGGCTTCTACTTCTACCTCCAAAAGGGGGCTTGTCCCTTCCATTTGGAAACTCAGGCAAGGAAAAAACAGTTACTCCTCCCGTGCTTAAAGAAACAGTCCATCAAAAATTACAAAATGGGATAGAATACATAACTGGTCACAGCCACCTAACGCTAAACCCTGCCTCCTTTTGCTATAACTAAGACAGTTGCATCGAACATTTTAAATTTTTTTGAAAAAATATTTTCACAAGCGAGAAAAAATTCAAATGAGAAGATATTTAGTGATAATAGCTAGCAAAAATAGAGAATTGATTTAAAAATACTTAAAAAATACCTCAAAGAAAGTCAGAAAATCAGCTAAAGATGTTTTGAGGAAGGGAGTGGATGTCTTAATTTTCTCCATATGTCACTTTACACTTTACCCAAATAAATGTTTCACACTCTTAATTTGTAGTGTTGTTCCCACACATCAAATAGATAAGTTCTGTATTACTAAATTTATGGGTTTATCATTGACCCTTGAATAACTGATGTTTGAACTGGACAACTTTAGCTTTTTTTAAACCTCATTTAATATGGCGTTTTCAGAGGCACTGTTTGTTGGGTGAAACACTGGCTGGTCCAGTGAGCGGTGGTGGATGGAACTAAATTCGGTTGGCAGCTGGTCACTAGAGATATTCTCCAGGGCTCAGTATCATGGTCTGTCCTGTTCAACGCCTCTATCAATGACCTGAATGAGGGGACTGAGTGTATCCTCAGTAAGTTGCCATGTTAGGTGGGAGTATTGATCCGCTGGAAGGTAGGAAGGCCTTATAGACAAATCTTGACGGGCTAGATTGATGGGCTCCCAACAACTTCATGAGGTTTAACAGGGTCCTGCACTTGGGTCACAAGCACCCTACACAGCCCTACAGGTTTGAGACAGAGGGCCTGAGAGCTTCTGAGCAGAAAGGGACTTGCTAGTGCTGGTTGACAGCCAGCTGGGTATGAGGCAACAGTGTGTCCAGGTGGTTGAGAAGGCCAGTGGCATCTTGGCCTGTCTCATTACTCTTTACAATTACCTGAAAGAAGGTTTTAGTGAGGTGGGGGTCAGACTCTTTTGCTATGTGTTAAGTGAAAGAATAAGAGGAAACGGTCTGAAGCTGTACCAGGGGAAATTCGGATTAGGTATTAGAAAACAAAAATTTCACTGAGAAAGTGCTTACTCATTGGAATAAGTTCTCTAGAGAAGTGATGGCATCACCATCTCTGGATACATTCAAGAGACATCTGGACGTAGTACTTGGAGATATGTTGGTGCTAGTTTGATGGTTGTACTAGATGATCTTAAAGGTGTCTTCCAATCTTGATGATTCTGTGAATGTTCTGCAACTAATTTAGTGTACAAATGTGGTCTTTTCTGATGAACAAAAAGTTTAAGAGACAGAAAGTGACAATATACTTGGCTCATTCATTTTTTTAAACGTAGTGTTACAGAAAAAAGTAGTTCTTCCTGTCAAAGAAAATAGTTGATGTTTAGAGCTTGGTTAGTATTCCGAATCATACAGACACAAAGGAAGAGATTTGTGAAAATTGGGGGATGAAACAGAAGATTCAGTTCCTTCCTCTGAGGACATTTTAACTTCATCACAGTAAAGATCCCTAGTCATTACAGTATATGGGTCTCTGAGGTAGGGTGTTCTCAATTACATCCATTCACATTCTGTTTCACTTTGAATGAATAATTAAATTGTGAACTAGGGAATAGAATCTGGCTATCCCTGCTCCCAGATGAGAGTCCAAACCTCTAGGCTGGAGAATACTTCTTCCCTTTTCATGACCACAAATATATATTTGTGTAAAGTGTAAAGAGACATAAGGAGAAAATTAAGTCATCCAATCCTATTGCAAGGCTTTGGGATACTTCCCAGGGAGGTAGGGAAAATCAGAGACAGTAACTAAGCCCTTCTTTAGCACAGCCGAGCTGGTAAGATATATATTGAATAGTGTTAGACTGACAATTTCTATTGATGAAAAGCTCTGGTGGTGATTGTACACAATGATATCTTCTCTGGATTTTTGCCTTTTCAGTACTTGTTATAAATCATTTAGTAATCAATGAGAGTTCACATAATTAAAAAAACATTTAAAATAGTTTGCTGAATGAGAAATTATTCCTCGAATACCATGACCTTGTCATTATAGTCCTTCATGGGTTCTCTTGCTCCTTTTTGGGTCTGCACAGAGTTGTCTTTCACTTTTCTCTTGATGTTCACAAACCAAATTGATTAAAGCTTTTTTTTCTAGCTGCCTTTTTAGATACAAGTCAGTGTTCTAGTTTTAGTAAATGAAGACTTGTTTTTTCACTCAGATGTCATTTATTCTCTCATTTGTTGACAGATACATATTTAACATTATCAGTATGAGAATAAAATAAATAAATCAACCAAAGCCCTCTTTCTGCAGGGATATTTTATGTCCCCTGATGATCCTTTATGTTTACTACTTTCATGGGTGATATTAATACTTTGCAAAATATATTTTGTTCCACAGACGAAAGATGCATCAGCAAAAGTAAAGAGTTTTCTCATATGAGTTAATTAGAATGAGAATGAAAACTGAGTTGGAAAAGTAAAATATCTAGACTGTGAAATAAATTGTAAATTTTACTTCAGTTAAAAATTCAGTGTCAAAAAAGATGACTGGAAATAAGCTTTTTCTTATGTAATCTACATGAAGTATTGGGTTTCCATGACCAGGTTTTGAAAGGGGTGGCTTCTGTAAGAAACTGGTATAATCTTCCCTCCTGTTTGGTAGAGTCAATGCCAGCTGGCTCCAGGACGGATCTGCTTCTGGTCAAGGTTGAGCCAATCAGGAATGATAATAATGTCTTATCAGTGATAACATATTTAAGAAAGAAAAAAAAGCTATTGTGCAGATGAAAATTGCAGCCAGAGAAGAGCAGAGTGAGAAGGTGAACTACTCTGTAGACACCAAGGTCAGTGGAGATGGGAGGTGGGGAGGTGCTCCAGGCTGAGATTCTCCTGCAGCCCGTGGTGCAGACCATGGTGGAGCAGCTGTGCCCCTGCAGCCCATGGATGACCATCAGGGTGCAGAGACCCACCTGCAGGCAGTGGAGGAGACCTATGCCAGAGCAGGTGGATGCCTGAAGGAGGCTGTGACCCTGTGGGAGGCCCATGCTGGAGCAGGGTCCTGACAAGGACCTACTGGCCCATGGAGAAAGGAGCCCACACTGGAGGAGGTTTTCCCTGTGGGGGACCCACATTGGAGCAGCCTGTGCCTGAAATACCTGCATCCTGTGGAAAAATGACCCACACGGCAGCAGTTCATGCCGTCGGTCATGAGAACTGACTCACATCGGAGAGTTTCGTGAAGGACAGTCCTTCATGGGAGGGACCCAACAGGGAGCAGGGGAAGGACTCCTCTTCCTGAGCAATAGCAGAACAACAACTGACTGTAACCCCCATTCCCACCTCCTTGTGCCACGTGGGGGGGAGGAGGTAGTACTTCAGAAGAAAGAGGGATGTGGGGAAGGTGTTTTTAAGATTTATTTTAGTTGTCATTATCCTACTCTGATTTTGTCAATAATAAATTTAATTAATATCCCCACTTTGAGTCTGTTTTGCCTGTGGTAGTAATTGGTAACTGATCTCTCCTGGTCCTTATCTCAACTCATGGATTTTACTCTATATTTTCTCTCCCCTGTCCAATTGAAGAGGGGAATGAGAGATCAGCTTTGCTGGATACCTGGTGTCTGGCCAAGGTCAAACCAGTATATTGGTGTACTAAGTCTGTGGCTGGAAGGATTTGATAAAATATTTTCCACCCTCAGTTACAAACCACATGTTAGATTACAAGAAGAGCTTTCTGTCCTTCTCTTAGAGAAACTCCGTTCAGGCAGTGTGAATGGAATTTCAATGCTCATTGAACCTCTTTTGAAAGCGAAACCTTCAGTTAGTAACAGGACTTAGTTTTGTTGGTTTTTTTTCTCACTGAGGATGTGAAACAATTAAAATACAACTAGCAAAGGAATAATCTGATTAAATAAATAAATAGACCATAGTTCAGAGTTGTGTCTTTGAATCTGACACTGTGTCAGATGTTAACTATTTATACAGAAATAAACACCTTTTTACTTTTTTGATACGAAAAAAGGTGGAGGCCACAGTGCTTTAAATAATTCATAATAAAATCTTAAAAAAAAAAATTAATTATTATTTCATTAATTCTACAAAATTCAGTCTTTCACAGCATTGTAGTACAGAAGAGATTAAAGGGAGAGGATGGTAATTGTTCCAAAGAGTAACAGAACTACAAATAGCATGCTCATGGAGTGTATTTTTACACTTCAGAAAGAGGATAGGAAAAAGTGCCAAAAACTTATTTGTGGTATGGGGGGCGGTTATTTTTATTTTTTTATCTGTGTCAAGCAGATTGTTAACCAAGAGTCATTTTCCAGGTGGTTTCTGTAGTCTATAAAAGAGACTGTTTTCCCCCCTCAGCTTTGTATTTTCAAAACCCCAGAGTAATCCATTCCTTCCAAAGAAATATTCCTTTCAAATGACTGATGAATAGAGGCATCCATCAGCTTCTAAGTAATTGACAACTGGACATTTTAATAGAAGCAATGCATAAAGCAGCATTATAGAAGAGCTGACCAGTTTAGTAGTTTGTGCCACTAGTGATAATTAGACGCTATATCTCAGTGGTGTGCTGAATTGCTCGACTCCAAAAGGTATTTCACGAATACGATAATTCTAGACACGTATCTCTCATGTGTCCAAATCATTGTCTGCACTTGTGCCTCCAGAAAGGAGTAGTGCCAGAAATAAAGTAGGAAAGAGCCAATAGAATAAACTCAAGAGATTAGGAGTCATTTGCATTTCAGGTGGATTGCCACAGAAACAAATTTTTCTAAATTCTTGCTACTTGCAGTGCTCTTCTCAAAAATGTGGGGAGAATGGTCTTGTCTGTTCTTTCAGCATGAAATGTGGTATATACTAAAGTATAAACTGACTGTATATTTATGTCTGTTGGATGAAATTTTTCATGTAGCTTGTGAAGAAAGAATAATTTTGAGTGTGAGGTACCTAACTATGTCAGTTAAAAAACTAAGAGTGGAGGAATATCAAGATTGTAAGAGCTAACCATGCAGTCTCTATCTGACCAAGAGTGAACATTCAGATGATATTCCATCAGGTATGCAAATTAACCCATTGTCTTATTCCATTTTTTTTTTCACAGGAAGGACTTATGAGGATAACAGCAATAACGAAAATACTGATTTTTTATAAAAGTGATTCCTATGTTTCTATATTTTCATTGTGAAATATTTTATGCAGATTTAGAGTAATCATTGAAACACCTCCTGTTACCATAATCTATGTGATTGCACAGGCTGTTAAAACAACAAAGCCATTTATGTCCCATATAAGATTGACAGATTCCACAAAAAATCAGTTGCTTCTAGAGCAAGAGGCAGTAGCTTCAAAGTATAAAAGGGTAATATAATTTGCTTGGGAGCTAGAGTGGTAATAGATTTTTTTTGGACTAAAGAAAAGATTTTGTAAGAAGTTGCTCAATTTTTCTGAGTTATGTCATGATTTGTTATGTATTGTGCAGCATAGAAATAGTGAGGTACAATTTCTTGCTGAGGTTGATTCAGGAGTTTGTGAAAAATAACTTAGCTTTCTGTAGATTTTTTTATTACCTTTCAGAAATCACTGTCTTTCATGGCCACTAATTTTTTCTCTGATTATTCAGGGAGATCGTGCAATACTTGTGGTTCAAGAACCATAGGGGTTGGATTTGGGTTGGAAAGGACCCTTAAAGTTTAAAGTTCCAAACCCCCTTGCCATGGACAGAGACATCTTTCAGTAGATCAGGTTGCTCAAGGCCCCATCCAACCTGGTCTTGAACACTTCCAACTTCTCAGGCAACCTGTTCCAATGTTTCACCACCTTACTATAAAAAAAGTCTTCCTTATAGCTGACCTAAATCAACTCTTTAATTTTAAAACCATTCCCACTATTCCTGTCACTACAGGTACTGGTAAAAAGCCACTCCTCATCTTTCTTGTAAGCTTCCTTTTTACATTGGAAGGCCACACAGCCTTTATATAATCAAAGTTTGAACAACCTCAAGTCTCTCAGCCTTTCTTCACAGAAGAGTTCTTCTAGGGGCTTTCAAGGCCCTCATCTGGACCTCCTCTGACAGGTCCATGTTTTTTTGGTGCAGAGCACCCCAGAGCTGGATGTAGAAGTGCAGGTGGGGTCTCACTAGTGCAGAGAAGAGAACCATCTCCATTGACCCTCTAGCCATACTTTTTTTCTGAAGCCTAGGGTATGTTTTCTTTCTGGACTGTAAGTACTTCTCCATAGGGCTGCTCACAATCCATTCATACCCAGTCTGTCCTGATACTGAGGATTGTCTCAACCCACACACAGGACTTTTTACTTGACCTTATTCAATTATCGAATTGTTGACTCACTTCTCAAGTCTGTCAAGGTCCTTCTGCACATCATCCCTTCCCTCTAGTACATCAACTGCAGCTCAGCTTGGTGTAATCCATGGACTTGTTTGGAATGTAAATACTGCCTATGTCATTAACAAAGACATTGAACAGCACTGGCCCTAATGCAGACCCCTGAGGGACACCATATGTCACTGATCTCCACTTGGACATTCAGACATAGACTGGAACTCTCCAGATATGGCCATCCAGTCTATTCCTTACCCACCTAACAGTTAATCCATCAAAAACGTATCTCTCCAATTTAGTGACAAAATATGTGTTGCTACAAAAGCCTTACAGAAGTCCAGACAGAGGACAGTAGTAAGTCTTTCCTTATTCACCATCTCCATCATTCTCCACAGAAGGCCACCAGCTTAGTCAGACATGTTTTGCCCTTGGTGAACCCATGTTGTCTGCTCCTCATCACACATCTGTTTTCCATGTGCCTTACCTTGCCTTGCTTCCAGTAGGGTCTGTTTGATGATGCTACCAGACATGGAGGTGAGACTGACTAATTAGTAGTTCCCACGGTCCACTTTTACGCCCTGTTTCAAGGCACTGGGAATTTTTCTGATTGCCATGACTTGTCAAATACAATGGAATCTTCTTCTTCAGTAGAATTTTCTAAATTTCTGATATTCCTTCTGGGTGTCAGTATTGGAAATCTAAAGGTAATTCTGTACTGGTTCTTCACAGGAAGGGAACCTGTCAGTGTAACTGGACAACAGAGTGCTCCTCATGTCCAAGCTTAGTCCTATGGCAGTGGGTAGCTGTGTAAATGCTGTACACTGTAAGCCTGTACTTCATCTCCCTGCAAAGCAGCTGCATAGTCTTAGGAATAGGTGGGTTGTAAAGCTATTTTTTTCCATTTTTTGTTGAAATATGGATAGACAAAGTCAACAGGACTAAGATGAACAACTTACTGTTGAAATTAGGATTTCAATGATTCAGGAAAAGATTTACCTTGCCTTTTATTTGACCGAGGCAAGTGAACAGTCATCTGAATTACATTTTTTTTTCCTGTTTTCTCATTTGGATGACCCACTAGCAAGTGAAGAGGTAAAGAACAGATTTGTTGGTACAGTTTTATCTTCTTGCAAATATGCAACATCAATAGAGGCTAAAAAAATATTATAAAAGAAAGTCAGAAAAGTTTCAGTTTCTCAGAACTCAAAATATGTTGTGAATATTACTTTTCTATTTTTCAGCATATTCTTCTCCTTAATAGGCCCCTTTGGAATAGCTTAGATCTCCAGGTTGAAAGTTTCATGGAAATGTAGGATTTTAGCTTATTTTTTTGGGGAACTTCAGTTCAAAGTTCAGTTAGACTCTTGAGGGATGACTAGCTACTTCAGTTCCTTCAAGTGGGCTCTCTTTTGTGCCATGTTTTATGTTGCAAATAATTTCAGGTGGAATTTGTGAGTCTATGACATTTTTAACAGAAAAGTTACTTGGAATTCTACTTCCAAGAAAAATGTCACCACTGTCCCACAGAATATTTTCCATATTCAGAAAGGCATGCCTTAAATTAAAGAGCAAGAGAATAATAAAACTGAAAAATATTTTCCTTCTTTACTGTTTTACTTTTACATTTATTTCTTTGAATACATTTCAAGTACATGCTCAAGATTCAGAACTGACACTTGCTCATATGTTTGTAGAGTTACTAAGCTCAGTAGGGGTTCAGTTGCAAAGTCATATCCCATTTCTTGTAAAACTTTTAAATAATAATAGATAAGAAATGTGCTTGTTGCCAATGTTGCATGTCTTTTGTTTGTTTGTTTGTTTGTTTTTCCTAAAGAATATAGACATTAGTCTTCCTGCTTTGCAAACATCGATACTTGCCAAGGATACCTGTTATGGTGATAGGAACTCAGTAGTAAATGGAACTCTTGCCACTTTTGAAGTTTAGTTTATGCT